GATCACGGGGTGGTGAGCAATTGCTGTATTGGGCATCACTTGTTCTTGTACATTCCTTTGTTGGTATTATCATTGTTGTTTTCCTTCTTTTTTTTCTGTCCTATTAAACCGTGTTTATCTCAACCCACGAGTTTTTTCCCAATTCTCTTCCCCGTCCCACTGCGGGAGGGGGAGTGAGCGAGCGGCTGCGTGGTGCTTAGTTGCCGGCTGGGGCTAAACCACGACAGAGTTATAACAAAATCATGGTTACAAGAAATCTTCTCTTGCCCACTAAGTGTACACAGGCAGCTCCAGCACTTCTGCTTCCAAACTCATCTGAATTACATATTATTATACCATTTGCCAGGAATGTCATTGCTTTTCCCAAATGAGAAGTAATGTTTTTTTCACTGTTAAAGACATTAACAAAGCAGAAATACAACTGGAAAATCCATGGTTAATACACCTCACCAATCCCCTTGTCCAGGTGAAATCCATGCCATGTTATCTACCATTTATGGTCCAGGTTAGACCAAAACACAGGACACGTTCCAGATTCTCCTTCACAGGCAAGTAAATATCTTTCATTTTTCAGATACTAGTAGTTTAAGCTAATTAATACCTGGAGGTGGGGGGAGTATTTTAACTTAGCTTTTTCCTTGAGGTCATAACTAAAAAAAAATAGTACCAGCCTTATATAAGAGATATATGTTAATATAATGGCCAAGGTGAGTCATCATAAACATTGTCAATGTTTTGCTTCACCATTGCTGAAATGTTCTTTTTGGCTCCTCCTTAACCACTTTCAGATCTCAGCCAAGAACCAGAGCCTAAAGGCCCGATTTCTGAAGGTAGCCTTCACATACAAGCAGGTATCTAGTTAGGATACCAAAGTGTGTAGGCACTGTTAAAAGCAAAGGGAATTAAGTCCGTTATTTGTGTACAAGCAGTACTCACAAGGGCCCTGCCTAACCCTGGAGGCATCTAAAGTCCTTGGACGGAAGTTTCTTCTGAACAGGCCATGTACACAGCACAAGCTATTGAGAAAGATACTGGGAGATGTTTGGGCAACACCAGTTTTCCTGTGTCTCTGCTCTACCTGGACTGCTGCCAGGTGATCTCACCTGCTTGTCAGTCCATGACTTCACCGTGGTGCACCACTGCCCTTGTGGCAACGCTGAGATGTTCAGTCCCTATGTGAATTTTAAGGCCTGCTGAGATTCATGGCGTAATTTCTCACCCAGGTTGGTTTTAGGTCCTGCTTTAGTTGTGCTCAATGCATATCAAGCATGGCACAAAACACACATGAGGAACAGAACATGTCAGAAAAGAGGTTTTCCAAGATCAGATATGGCAGCATCTCAGCTGCCCATCCCCAGTCTTGTCTGCTAGCACAGTGGGACAGTGGGTGTGTGGGCATACTGGGAGACATGTCAACCTTACGGATGGTGTGACATGTTAGTAGATGTTTTGACCAGATGTCTGAGGGATCTGCCCTGTGCAGAAGACCAGGAGCAAATCTCACCTCTGACTAATGGGGTTTGAGCTGTGGTAACTGGAAGACTGTCCTCATCAGCCATTCCCATCCCCTCTTGCTGCCTTTGCCAATTCTGCTAGAGAAAGAGGAATAGAGAGGAGGAGTCAACTTCATTGTACAATCACACCATCAGAGCAGTGTTGTGAGAGATGGGATCAAATCCCATCAAGGAGAGGGCAGACTTCAGCCAAGCTTTCTTGCAACCCAAGGGGTGTTTTAGTTCCACGAGCTATTGCCCTGTGAGGCGCACCCAAACAAGGCAGATAGAGGAATTGCATGCGCTTTTGTCTGTGTCTCACCACTCTTGGAGGATTCGTCTCTGGTAGTGTCGTGAATGAGTGGTTGGCCTGCTTAAAGAATCACTGCCAAAGATATCAAAAAGCGAATGTGTTTAATATGAATTTGTGAAAGTGCAACTCAACAGAATTCGATGGGAAGGGTCACTCTATTACTTATTGAACATAAAAAGGTATACAAAAAGAACCCAAGTGAAAACTAGATTGGAATGATTTGCTCGTGGATCGAATAGAATTAATATGGCTTATGCATATATTGAGGAGAGAAAGTAGGAGACACCCTCCTGTTGAGTCACGAGGTTCAGAGTGGACCCCCTTGCTTTCTAAACTCCTCAGAGAGGAGCCTAGGTATGGCTGAATCCACTCCTAGTCCCAGATTTGGTCAATGGTTTATGACTAAAGGAATAGGGTGTTGGGGATTCTGGTGTGGTGATATATTTTGTGTTTGGTGTAACTTTAGGATGGCAACAACTTAATACAAAATAACAGCAATTAAATTCACTAATGATCTTGAGATAAATCACAGTATCAAATCATATAAAACTTAGCAGCATAATCAACCTAAAACTTACTAAGTTTAGGCACGTAAAGAGATGTAGAGAAAAGAGATAGATATGTACAAAGGTGAGAGAGATGGATATGTACAAAGGTCCCTTTTAAATATCCCACTTGAATTCAGTCGAATACTCACATTGAATGCTTTGCATCGCTCAACGGGTGAGCAGACGAGTCTCTAAGTTGATAGCTAACTTGAGGGTTCATGGATTCTGAGAGTTGTCCCACTCAGACCGAGGTGTTTGTTGCAGCCCACTGAGGTCCACGAGAGCTCAAAGGGTCTCACTTGGGACCACTATTTATAGGACTGGGAGATGATTGACTTTAGGCATCAGTAAATTTCCATCCTTGCCACAAAACTTTTGATGGTAATTGCTAGAATTCTTGTCAAGTCATAATTGGACAAAACTATGTTCCAGGGCTATCAGAAGAGGATTACTTCCACAACTGATAGTCCTGAGATGGTCAGTACCATTCTCTACCTTAGCTACTCAGGAGTGCTTGGCACAGCCAAGGGGCTCTCAACTGCCAAACTCCCTGCTCCAAGGCCAAGACTTATCACGAGCTCCAGGTGCAAGGAGGGGGAAGAATGCACAACCACAGATAGTTACATGAAAATCCTGGGGTTTTATATCACTTTGACTTGTCTTCTCTGGGAAGTGGTTCTTGTCAGTAGTTTCTTGTCCAGAGTTGTGAGCTGGACTGTCAGCCCTTGCTCCATTATCATGGCACATGGTCTCAGCTCAGCAGAGGTAATCTTCTGACTCCCTGGTACCCCATGGGCATATCTCCATCACTTCCCACCCTGCTTGCGTGCTGCCTCCATTCCCAAACCATGCATCTACCCTGTCACTCACATCTTGCTGTACCAAGGACTCTGCCCACCAAAACAACCCACAGTGGCATTAGAGCATGGGTCCTCTCAGCCCATTGCCATGTTCTCCATCTACCAGCAGGCAGCCGTCGCCACCCCTGCCCTGACCCCTCTGTCCCCAAGCCATGGGGTCATGGCAGGTGAGGCCACAGCCACCAGTCTCTCCACAGCCCTTCCCACACCATCACATAGGATCTCCTCCTACCTCTTCCACCTCCCCTACATTGTTCCTGAGTGTCTTTGTTTCTCTCCTCTGTTCCCCAAGTAATTTCTTACTGGCTGTCGAAACTGCCCCCTTCCTTCTGCTTCTCTTTAACTTCCCCCCTATGGACACTGAGCCCTGCTAGAAATGGCAGTGGCATCCTGGTGCCATTCAGGCTTGTGTGTGGTTATATCAGATGCCTTGTCTTCAGTGGACTGAACCAGAATACATGAACACTACTATACTTGAGCAAAATACTTTATTACTCAAAAACAGCTTGATTAATAAATAGTTGGAAAACAAAATAAATTAAACCTGTACATTAAGTTTTACATTTTTAAGGTTTTAAATTAGATTTATCAAAGGCCGTCATTTCAGACTCGGATGCACAGTAACAGCTGAGTGATATTGTTTATAACCAAGGAACATAAAAAAACATTTCTGGTACAAATACAGCCTTGCACCATCACTTAATATTTCTAGCAATTAAACCAGCTGTTGCTCTTCATTATACGGATGAGTTTCTTGTTCTTGATGTCAACCTCATACTGATTTGATCCATGGAAAAAGTAGAAATGTCCTAGAATTAGAAGGACAAAATATTGGTAAATTAATATTTCCTTTTTTGTATACATGATGGTATACACTTGCTGTTTTCTTGGGTGATTAAAAAAATATATCAGAAGAAACATTTCACATATATATATGCATTTGAAACTTATACTCTTTGGCTGTGGTTCATGGTCTTTTTTGGTTTTAATTACATTTTAATTTATTTACCATTTTTTTGAAGGGCAGCATCAACTGTATGGCCAATTCCTTGGAAGTCAACCGCTATTTTTCTTGGATATCCCCTTTCCATTGCTTGGGTATTTTCATTGAAACTAAATAAAGAAATCGCATGAAAACAAGAAACAAGCATGTGATGTACAATGTTGAAACTAGGTGGAATTTTTACTAAATAAGCCTACTCTCAGCTGAAAGTTCAGTAACTGCAAGCATCTCTGAACTCACAGAACTGTATAAATCCTGTCTGTGTGAATATTCAGGTCTTCAGTGGCCTATGCAAGGCTGTTTTCAGAACACCAGACTAAATAGTTCACTTCCGTTCCCCGAGACTGATAATAAAGCTGGATGAGGCTTATACTGAATAATAAACATAAATAATTATTCAAACTGAATATTTTAATTTTACAACATTCAATCTATTAAGCGACCCCATGAGTGGAATGTAAACTTCTGGTGTAATAATAATCTTTCAAGATAATATTACAGATTAATCATTAGGGCTAACATTACTGCTTACCTGAACTGTTTCTCACAAATGAAATGTTTTAATCTCCTTCCATAGCTTTCTTGACAGATTTGTCATTTATACATTTCAGAGAGCACTTTTGCCCCTTAATAGCTACTGAATGAACGATGATTCATTCATACTGAATGAATACATGACATGATGACAAAGTCTACTCACATTATCTTTTTATACTAAGTTCATGTAATACTGCTTCCTAATGAATAAACAAAGCTCATTTGTCTGTTAATCACAGATTGGTAAGAGTAAATGGGTGTTGTCTTTATCTCAGGTGGTACAGACTTTGTTCTGTAAGTCATGAGTTTCAGCTTTATACTGGCTGAGAAGGCTGACAACAAGTGGCCACGGACTTACTGTACAAATACTAATATAACTTGACATCTTAAAAGTTATTTTGATTATCTGTGTACGAAAAAAAAAAAAAGGAATGAGCTTTACCTCCAGTACTTGTTGCCTACAAATAAATAGGTTTTCCTGGTACTTTGATCATGAACAGCTGCATCAATTTTCCCAACAGTGGTGGGGAAGCCCAGGTTCTGAATAGGCTTGGGGAAGCCTGGCTCTATATTGTAGCCACTGACAGCCCAGTACTGGTCATCTGCAGCAAAACCAGGAAAAGTTAGTAGGGATTCCTGAGAGGGCTGATCACCGTTTCATCAAAGCCCCAAAACTTTCTGTATAGTAAATGCCACAAAACAGCACAGATGTCCAGCTGAGAACATGACCCTTTAGAGCACTCGTAAGTGTGAATATTTCAGAGCTGTTAGTTTTTCCACTTTTTATAGTCGTTAGAGTGTTATATACTCAAAATTTAAAACTCAACATATTTTCTAGGTATGTGTGTTACCTTTAAAAATACATTTAAATAACTTAATGTAGGCAATCAATTTTGTCTCAGCTATGATCTTCTCTCTCACTGACAGAAGAAGAGTAACATCATATTGTTCAGGGCTGTTGTGAAGCAGCATTAGTTAATGACAGTAACAGCATTTTCAGAATGAAAATGGATTTAAATATTAAGAATATCTCTTATTAGTGTTAGTGTTAGTGTTAGTGTCAGTGTTAGTGTCAGTATTAGTATAATATTACTTCCATCAATATTATGGATGTAATTGTACTGTAAAAAATTATAGTACAATTAATTACTGTAATGTAATTACATAACATTAGCAGTACTAGTCTAACTTTATTCATTCATAACAAGGACTTATGGAAATGTAGGACAAATACCTTTAAAAAATATCACTCGATCTTTCTTGTCAACCTCATAAGCAGCATCAAATCCAGCTGCCAGTGACGGCCAGAATGAGGAGATGGTGTCATGCTCAATGCCTGAGAAATACGGACTTTTGCGCCAGACATAGCTGATTGATATAAATGAAAACAGCAGGGCTTCATTATTTGTATTTCACTAGGAGATCAGTGGCACAGAAATGTACTTTAAATCCTACTGTCTGGGTGCCAGTCCTCCCTGTGACGCAGAGGTGTCACCCCTTTGGGGGTGCAGTGCTTTGCTTTGCCCTGCTCTCTCATAGACTGCCCTTTACTACTGGTTGCTCTGAGGGCACAGAATGGTTGAGGTTGGAAGGGACCTCTGGAGGTCATCTTGTCCAACCCCTCAGCTCAAGCAGGGGCATCTAATGCTGGTGGCCCTGTGGACCTCTCCACTGGCACCCTGATGGCTTGCCCAAAACAACATGTGATGTCTGTGGTGGTGCTGACAATTGAAGCTTTGTCCCATGTCCCATGCAGGTAGGCACAGCTGCATTCTTAATTTCAATTTGGTTACAAAGTTCATTAAACATTCTTGAGAAACATGTTAAAACCAATATAAGGAGGAACTGTTGCTCCTTCTTCCCCTTAACACAAAATGATTTTTTTAAAGTTACAATTCTTCACCATGTGTTTTAGAAGGGAAATCAGACCAAAAAAATAAAAAAAATCATCAAAGGAAGCTTGTTCAATCAAAACACAATTACCAACACAAGAAGTAGGTGAAACTCTGGGCCTGACATGCTCTTCTCCCTCACCAGTGTGGATGTGTCCAGCCAACAACCTGCTATACAGTTCTCAGTGTCAGAGCATGCCCCAAAATTTGATTAACAAAAGGGAATTCCTACAGACAGTACTGGGCACTGGTCCAGTGCAGACTCCTAGGTCAGAGTGCCACCAAAAGACACAGGTGACACTTTCTACAGCTCCCTGCCCCACACATGGGATGGTGTGACAAGGATGGTGCTGCATGCAAAGTAGCTGCAGGCTGAGGAGTGACAATGGGATTATTCAGCCTTGCACAGTTTTAACAGGCATGGGTGATGATGTATGATGGCTTAAAACATTTTACTCACCTGTCAGTAAACTGTGTTACTCACCCAGCCCAGCTGGGCTAGTAAAATTTTGCAAAGTTGCTTTAATACTTTCAGAAAGAAATATCTTAATTTGTAACCAAAGGAAAATTAATTCCTTGAACTGAACTTTATGTTTTGCCTTTGTGAGTCTCACAAAAAGGTGTTGCTAGAAATGAAAGAACTTACCTGTCTTTGAAGAATAGTATTTCCCCACGGAGAGTGGTGATAGCATCAAAAGTCAAATGAGGGTCACAGTCCTCTGGTCTTGTGGGGGTTTTGGAGGGTGTTGGTTCTTCGGGGGGTGACAGTTCAGTTGTTGCTTCTGAAGGTGTCATTTCAGTTGGTTCTTGTGGGGGAAAAGCTTTTGTTGGAAATGCAGGAGATTCCCTGGGGCGTCCTTTGGGAAATAGAGAAGTGTGGAATTGGAAGGTGAATTATAGTGTTTCATGTGGCAGAGCTTCAGGATGTACCATATGGAGCAAAATGCATATTTTTTTTAAGATAAAAACTCAACTAGTAAATTAATGCCAGGGAAAGTTCCTGGGCAATTTAACTCGGCTATCTGTGCCGCTGACTGTTAAAATGGTCTATGGCACTGTTTTGCCTGGACAAGTCATTGGTCTCTCAAATTGTACTTGCTCAGGAGTTAATGTAGAGCAAAAAACATTTCCAAAGGACAGTTGTGCATGTGAACACCCTTTTGTGGAAGATAAAAAAGACAAGTCTGTTACTACAGACATGGGATGTTCCTATGGTATCATTGGAGAAAGGCTCTTGGATCTTTTGACTTACTGGCACGTGTACAGCCCACAGATTCCATTTTGCAGATGTAGACTCTTAACCACAAAGAAACCAAGAGATTTGCCCAAAAATAATATCAGGATATTAAATCTCAGTATCCTTCTTGCAGTAGAAGGTTCAGTACATTTTAGCTGTTTGGTAAAATTCATTATAAATGCTTATCCGTCATCCACCCAAAAATAATGCTTCTTTTGCTTACCATAGAGGGCCTGAATGCCATCAATATCATCCTGAGGAAGCCTGTAGTCCCTCGTATCCTTTGCCATGTATATAGGATACATCAAAGCACCAAAGACATTGGAATGACCAAGGCCTAGTGAGTGGCCCAACTCATGAGCAGCAACAAGAAATAAGTTATATCCTAAAAAAAAAAATCCAGCACAAAGAACAAATACTAAATACATTTTCTTGCATGACAATGGGATACAGGTGCCATCCTCTCACGCATGATATATCATTCACAATCTTAATAAAACAGCAAAATCTAACTATGTCCCAAGTAAAGGATTCTCTGGCATCCCGAAGAAGAAATGAGTTTCTAATTATAAACATTTATTCTTGCAGAGAAAACCAGTCTGAGGACAGTTTCTACTCATGTTGCAGCAATTTTCTTGCCAACAAAGAATCAAAATTTCTTTAATGTTAATAATGACTGAAAATTTTAGTCACCTGGTCAGATTTTGGGAATCATAAGTGACGTGGAATTCACCTGGTAACTACTTCACAAAGACCAGTAACGTGTAACATCATCCCGGGACATTGCTGGAAACCAGAACACTTCACTATTATATTTAAGTATATTTACCAACAAACTCCAGATTTTTTTTTCCTTTGCAGAAGTTAAAGATTTGTATCACTTTAAATCAGGAAAAAAAAAAAAAAAGGTGAGAGCTCAATATTACAACTTTTAAGGTCATCACCTGGGGGTGAAAATTCCCTGCCTTGCAATGTCACGATTACCCAATGTTGATGTGTCATGCTAATCTCATTTCCTTCACTGGAGCTGCAATTGTAGTCTGTGCATTTACTTGAGGGGGCTGTCATGACTGCAGCCCAAGTCAAAATATGCAAAATCATTTTACCAAATACACAGACATTTTATATCTCAGTAAATACTGGAACTACTGCCATGGGATGTGTGACTTTACAGTGTCTTCAAGACAGTGTCTAATAAAAACCAGGCAACACAATATTTAGGGTTACCTACCATTATAGGTAGTAAATTTGGTCCAGTTTTCATCTTCATCAAAGTGGGCATCTCCTCCTATCCCACTGCTGGGGGGGTAGGCATGAGCCAGAGTTCCTCCTGGACCATCGAAGGAATAGAAGTCACCATGAACTGAAAAAAAGGGGGAAAAAAAGGTGGTGCCTTTCATCATCTCTGTAAGAAAAAGTGACAAACACTTATCATTCCCAGGTGAGGGAATCCCTTACATCCAGCTGCAAAGGAGATCATTATATCTGCTTGACCACTGTAGAGCCTGGTGAATCTCAAAGGGGTGACACTGCTCCAGAGCTGAAAGGCTTTTGCAATTGCTTCCTCTACATCAGCTTGTAGCATGTCTGGAGTGTAGTTCAAAATCCTGTGAAATAAGGAGAAAGGAATTAAAAGCAACCAGATCACATGTGACTGGGGCACACAGTATCAAGGTCAAATATTTTAATCATTGGTTATTATAATTTATGTGTCTCTGGTTGTTTATTTTCAGATTATTTGCTTACATAACAGAGGAAGTTTTCACACTTTTCTTTCACAACTTTCAGAATTCCTAACATATATACACCCAGCTGTATCCCTTCTATCTGCTGAGTATATTATTTAGTAGGTTGTTAACTAACTAGTGTAAACTCCTATTTTGGTATTTTCATCACTGTTTGGAAGCCTAAAGCAAAGGATATGAATAAACACCACATTTATGGCCCTTTTATCCTGAATGGGGCTTTTATATGGAAATATGCAGGAATAAATAGTAAAGAAACTGTTGGCATTGCTTCTGTCTAACATTCACAAAGTTTCCCAGCAGTGTACAGAGAAACATGCTCTAACATATGTTACCGGTATGTCACATCATCTTTCTTCCACCTAGGGCTCTGTGGGAAGGTGCTGTATGAACGGACGTCTGGTATTCCACATCTAGGCTGCTTCATCATGTCCAGTGTCTTAGGGTTCAGCTCCCCAGTAACCTCTAGTCCAAAGAATGACTGCATTTCTCGGATTTTGTCAGCCATGAGATCAAGATTCTTTGATTTAAAGAGAGAATTTTTCTCTTCTTTAAAATCATAAAAATTTTCCAGATATTTCTGATGGGGAAGAAAAAGCAACAGACTAGAACATAAATGTTTATTTTCAAATGCAGAGAGCTGTTAATAAAATATTCTACATCACTAATACATCACTACATTTATTTTCTCAATAAATTTTTTAAGTTCTCTCTGTAGTACTTACCTTAGCAAATTGCATATCTTCTTTTTCCTTTTCTAGAACCACTGGGAAAGCACAAGAACATGCAACATATAATAACCCAAGGAAAGGAAGGATCTTTGTCTTCATCTTTACCTCCCTGTCCTATCAGCCCTTCCTAGAAGACCTCTCAATCTCTTCTTCTTCTGTCCAAGGCTCACAAGTGTTTCTCTATTTATATCAGCTCTGTGCTTGCTAAAGTAACTGCATGACTCAGTTTATAACATCCTCTGATTTCCCACAGAAACACAGAAAACAAATTTGGTTTTAGAAACAAGCTAACACATGACAGTTCACCTTGCCCAAAACCCCTGGATTTCGCAATCGTATTTGGCAGTATTTTTTTTCTTCATACCTAAACTGGACCAGTATTTTAAACTTACCATTATCTAAATATATAATCGGTCACCTGGATAAAAATCACCTCATTTTTCAGAGGTGTTGAAGAGACCTGGCTCTTTGTGAGGGACAACAATCTGTAATTCCTTATAGCATCTGATAAGAAACCTCCAGAAACTGCCGTTCAGCTTTCTCAGTGTGGTACCCATGCAGGACCTCAGCATGTCAGGGATGAACACCTTTCTTTAGCCCATCTTGTCCCTGATAATTTTAGTGACATAGTTGATTATACAAATTACCCATTTAACTCTTCTCTTGAACCTGACATCCCAGCATGGTTACAGAACCATCACCTCTGCTGCTACCTAGCCCTTGTTCTCCCATACTTGCCCCAGGAAACCCCAACACCACAATGTAAAGGTCTCGGCGGAGCACCCCAGATCATATATCCTAGTCTGCATAGCCTATCAGCCAAGGGTGTTTTCACAACTAAGGAAGAAATAGCAGAAATTGCCCTAGAGAACTACAGGCACCTTAGGGATGTGGGGGTCTTCAGAGGCACTTTTTAACACATGTCCCCAAAGTCAGATGAAAGATGACGAGGATTTGAGCTGTAGATTCCAAGTTCCCCAATTTGCCAGAAGTCTTACTTTCAATTCTTACGTCCTTTTCTGAACATGTGTTGTGCTTTATGCACGGGTTGCAGAACTGCTCAGTTCCCTCTTTCTTGCCTGTCATTTCTGAAACATCCATCTTTTGAAGCAGAATTCTCCTGTGTTGACTTAGTGCCCAAATGCAAGTTCAAAAGGAGAAATATGAACTAAAAATATTTTACTCCTTTTTGAACATGAGAAAAAGAAGGGAAAGAAACCACTTTTCCAGTCAGAGCAAACACATTGGAAACTTGAAAAAAAACAACCCCAGCACCACAGCAGCTGAGCTCTGCAGTTTGAGAGGTGGCCTGGGGAAAAGGCATGGCCTCCTTCCAAAAGAAACTGGAGTTGAACTACCCAGCTGTGCGTGCATGACCCAGGTCAGAGCCCAGGTCCCTGA